AACTAACATATATGCCTAATACATATGTATTATTAGATATTTGTTAAATCTTAATGAAAATGAGGTTTAAAAAGCACCTTACGAAAATGTATAAAAAAGGTTATGAATTCAAACATTTTATAAAAAAAAATAAATGTTTGGATTATGAAAAAAAAAAAGAATCTGAAAGTAAATGAAGATAAAATCGTGATTGAGTTCTAATATGATGAAATAATTATATTGCATATACTCATTTGGTCTTATTTATAGAGTAAAGAGAGAAGAAAATTTTAAATTTTCATATGAATGTATAACTGTACTTTTCATTTATTATTGTATTGACTTTATTTTTATGAGATATACTGTATATTAAATATGAACAAAATTGAAAAACTGCTTAATTTTAAATGAGAGTTAACGAAATTTAAAATTTTTATTAGCTTGTATGAAATATGTTAGAAGTTATTTATAAATAGTATTAGAAGAATATCATGTAATATATGTGCGTGTATATATTAGTGATTGAGTTTAATCAATATGAAAAGGAATAATAACACCTTTTTTCACGTCATTTTACTAGGAACAATGCTATTTCAGGGGTGTTTGGGTAAAAACAAAACCATAGTTTTAAAAGTGTTTTTACAGTATGCGAAGTAAATATGTAGAAGAGTTTGTCTCGTTTTGTAGAGGAGTATAATAAGTACTTTTGGATGCTTCTAAACGCCCCCTACGGTATATAAAGTAAATATGTGAAGGAGTTTATCTCGATTTGTGAAAAATTGTTTCTGAGAATTGTTTTTGGGTTACTCAAACACCCCAAATCAAAATCATGAAAAAGTTGAGATTCAATGAAGCCTTACGGATTTTTCACGTCATTTTACTCGGAAAAATGCTATTTCATCAAAGTCATGAAAAAGTTGAGATTCATTACCGGATCTAACAAAACTTCTTGTCTTTCTCTTTCTTTAGGATCATTTTTGGTCTTTTAGCTTCATAATTTAATTTCACTTTACCCTTTTGGAAATGTAGTGACATTTCAGATTTTTGTGACAGTATTTTGAAATTAAATATTTTTAAAGGAGGTTAAATGAAATTCTCCCAACCTTCAATCCAAGCGTTGCCGTGAGGATGTATTGATTGTAGTTTGTGAGAGTCATCAAAAGAAATGCTTTAAACATGACATGATTAGGTCCTATTTGGATGAAAATTAATTTATTTTTAGGGAAAATACAACTTTGGATCCTCAAATTTGGGTCCATTTAAGTTTTGGTCCCTGAAATTTAAGACCGGAGGTATTGGTCCTTGAAATTTACTCCGTTACAAAATGTTAGTCCCTGGGAGTCATATGCCGTTACAGTTTGTTGAGGTGGCACAAACAGTGTCAGCTATGATGATTTGGCTTCTAACTTAGCAACATGAGCTGATTAAGTGGCATGGCAGCTGGATATCTGATGTAGAAAATAAAAAAAAAAAACAAAGAAAGAAAGAAAGAAGGCGCCTGTTTAAAGAAAAAGACAGAGGACCTATGTTTAAAAAAAAAACAAAGGACCCACATCAGAAACTTGTGGGGGAGTAGAGGAAAACGACAGTGCATATGGAATAAAAGAAAGTAACGGGAAAGGCGCTAGGTCAAAAAGGACCCACACTTACCGACGAAGAGTGACATGGCCTTCACCAGAATAGCAGTATTTCCGACAATGGTGGTACTACAAAATTGAACCCACCATTTGCTTCTTCAATCATTCGTTGAAAGGTGAAGAAGTAATGTGTGTTTTGTATATAGTTGATTAACTCATATTTGAGAAAAGTAAGGAGTCGGCTGGGGAAGGGGAATGATGGGAATAATGATTGATCCATCAATTGCGTGTTTGATTTAGAGTTGTTTGCTTTAGTTAGCCATATAGTTGTTTACTGTTTTTGTTGTTTTAGTTAGATTTTAACCCATTTAACTGCTTCGGTCTTTGATCTTTTTTAGTATCGTGTCTTCGCGCATGCTCTATTTTCAGTTTTTTCTGGAAGTTGGTGGCATGAGCAGCAAGAGGGCGTTTATTTGATTTCATTTTATTATAGAGCACTGACCTATCGGTTTGAGTATCTGTATTGATTAGATTCGAACATATCAAATGACTCGTTTTGCTGAAAATCGTGTCAAGACCAATAAGTATTGTGATAAAGGGATTGTTTGCCTGTGACCTCAGAAAAGATTGGATAAAGAAGTGTAAGAATGTCAGAAATGGGAGGCTGAATATATGGGTGACAATCGATTTGAGGTGTCATTCAATACTCATAAGTTCAGGGTTGACCTTACTACCAAAACATGCACTTGTTTCTGGTGGCAACTTAATAAAATTCCTTGCAAGTAAATATTTATGATTTATATTGTTAGTATATTCAAGGTGGAATATACATATGTATGTAGGTGCTCTTATGACTTGCATATTCATTTGTGTTATTACCTATTATGATATATATGCATATATATGATACATACAACGTCATATATATATATTACCTATTAATTCTCGAATATGTATTGAAGAAGAGTAGCTCTTGAATATATATATATATATATATTGGAGAAAAATAGTTCAGAGAAAGGTAATTTCATCCAACTCTAGCTACGTCTCAGTTATGTGCCTTCAATTGAGCTCCTCTCCCCCTCACAAAGCTTTCCACTTCCTTTTGCCCAACTTTCCTTCACCCAGTGCACTTTTGCCAGATCTTCTCTTTCCTTCTACCACTATAACTTCGCCAGAACTCGTTCTCCCTTCGCCTACCAGCTCCTCGCCAGATCGCTTTGTTCCATCGTTTATGCCCTAATCAACAACACCGTCGTTTTCCTCTGTTCCCCCCAAGTATCTGATATGGGTCCTCTGTCTTTTGCTTTAAACAAGCACCTTCTTTCTTTCTTTTTTTTATATTTTATTTTATTTTCTACATTAGATATCCAACTCCCACGCCACTTAGTTAGCTCATGTTGCTAAGTCAGAAGCCAAATCATTATAGCTGACACTATTTGTGCCACCTCACCAAACTGTAACGGCACATGACTCCCAGGGACTAACGTTTTGCAACGAAGTAAATTCCAGGGACCAACACATCCGATCTTAAATTTCAAGGACCAAAGCCTTTCGGGCCTAATTTTAAGGACCAAAAGTTGTATTTTTTCTTATTTTTAATTTGTCTTTTAAAAAAGTTAGATTGCATAAAAATTAGATTAATTATTGTGATTTATGTTTGGATTGATTTTTATAGATAAGTTACTTTGTAAAAATAGAGATTATTTGGATTATAATTGAATAAGCAAGTTTACTTTGTAAAATTACCAAATTGAAAGAATTAAGTAAATATGATTTATTTTGATATTTCTAATTTTCAAAAATAACATTTATTTGAAAAAAAAACTCTTCTTCTTTATTATTCTAAATTGCCTACACATTGACCATACATTAAAAAAACAGATTAATTGAAATCCTCCATTTGCGGAGAATTCTGGTAGAGTCGTGATGCAACAATTTTACATCTATACTTATTTTTTTATTAATCATTTAATAAGTTTTAACCTTTTTAACTGACTTTTTATAAATGTCAATTCAAACATAAATTACATGGCGTTAATCAACTTTTATTTTAACTTAAATTTGTTGAAATAAAAGCTGTTTTTATCACCATTAATATAGCCCGCCAACCCACCAAAAATGGTGGGCTTGGATTGGCAAAATGTCAGCCTGTTTCGTCGCGGGTTAACCCCTAATATATTATATAATATAGTAGAAGGATTTCAACCTTCAAATTTCATATAGACTTTGTCTCATTCATATTATTGCATATGTAATTAAGCACTTTATATATATACATAAAAGATCTGCTTAATTAATTTGAATAAGAAAATTCGTTAAATTAATTATTTAGAAAAAATATATGTTTTTTTAAATATATTTTTAAATTATAAATTAATCTTCATATTATTTTATTACAACTTACTACTTGAATTACTCAAATTCAAGGTTTCAAATCTAATTTTAACATTTCAATTTAAACTCAACCTATATAAATAATACTACCTCCGGTCCTTAATATAAGACCCTGTTTGACTTTTATTTTGGTCCTAAATATAAGACCCCAATCCACTTTGTCTTTTATATCTACTCAATTTTTTCCAAAATAATCCTTCTAATAACTGTAGTTCTAATTAATACACTTGATTAGTAAGGATATTTTAGGAAAGACAACATCTATTTAGGACAAATAACTAACTCAATCTACTTCCTTAATCTCCTCAAATTAGTCAACTGGCTTTTATAATTAGGATCAGAGGTAGTAATATTTTTTAAAAAAACAAAAAACAAAATTAGGCGGGGCCTTGGCTGGATTGCCAGCCCGCCAAGGTGCGGTCGACCGGCTCAAGGTAATCCATCCTAACACACCCCTGATAGTGGTTGGTTGTTTAGCGTTTTAGTTAAAAAAACGCAAAGCAGCATTTGCTCTCATGGCAGAAGTAGTGGCAATGGAGGAAGAAGTCCACTATACTATTGACAGTGAACAGGAAAATGCCATCTTTGAATATGATAATAAAGGACTAGTGGCTTGTATTAACAAAAAATATCATAGCTTCAGCTTGGAGGTTTGATAGAAAATATTGTTGCTACCAGGAAACTCATTCGGAGTCATTCTGTGGTATTAATTCCTAGAGAGACAAACTTAATTGCTGATTGTCTAATTAAAGATTGGGTGTGTCCTTCTGACGTCGATGATAGAAACTGTTTGAGTAAGAGTTGGCTGCTTTTTTTTCTTTTTTAGTTTTTTTGCTTCGATGATTTTATTTCTTATGGTTGAATCATGTTCGTTACCATACAAAGTCGTGTTTTGATATTAATGATGATATTTGTTTTCTCCCCGGGGGGGGGGGGGATCTTGGTTCCGGTGGTGTCATTTCTCAATCTACTTCCCAGCTCTCCGCCCTCTCAAATTTTCAATGTTGATCTTCGTTTCTGGTAAACTAAAATTTCCACATTCTTTAATATCTCACTACCATTCTGATTTATATACTTTAATTGTCTTCACAAACCTGAGATCTCAAATTCTAGTTTGTATGATACAAAAGGAATACGTGCAATTCGCAAGGCAGTGTGAATCTTCAGTGAACCCAATTTCCATTGATCATATGTAGTTTCTGTTGTGAAGAAAGAATACAGAAACCTCCCTACAAAATCTTCTCGTTCCCAGGCTTCTAACATCGAGCCAATTTTTGGTTTTGGATTCTTTTATGTCATCTAATCAGCCAAAAAAAAGGGCTTATTCTAATTGGAAAGCTAATCACATCTCGCAGAGAATTGAGCGATCACTTGAATGCCTTTCTACAACCTAAAGACATCAATTGATAATGGTATAGTGGAAAGAAACTCAATCTCTTGGACGAATCGCCTTTGAAAACTCGTTGAATTAGCTACTGGTTCCTACGACCTTGGTGTCTGCTGTGAACATGGCTCGCACAGGCCTATGATCTGAAAGTCTGGACTCGATCCTATCGTACTTTGTTTGCTTCATTCCCCGTCCAAACCATATAATTCGATCACACCTGCATTACCCTTCTTGTGATTAGCCTACCACCTGTTTGCTTTAATGTTTTATTCACACATGAAAGCATTTTGATGTACGTTATTGCTTACCATGCTGGGGCACGCCTCTTTTTGCTCGTGTGGTGTTGATCACATCCAATGTAGTCTTTTGAATTTGGATGGTATTTGTACGTGGGTGGAAATTCTATGGCTCCTTCTTGCCAACCTTCGAACACATTGCCCTCCGTGAGCTCCATCTTGAGCTATATTATTTTCAAGGGTTTTTAAATTTTTTGAACAAGAGAACTGTGGTAACTGATAATATTGGTGCAAGATCAGATGCTTTACCTGGTCATTTTTCAACAAGGTGGTCCACTCTCTTCTTTTGACTAACGATCGTGTTGCAGAGTCTGGCAGGCAGATCCTGTAATTCAAGTCACCGAGCCAGACCACTCGACTGCAAGGAAACAGGTAAAAATTTTAGATAGGGGTCTACAAATATATACAATTTTTTGTTGGTTTCAGAGATTTTTGTCAAGCAAGATTTTTCTGGTAAAGTTTCCAGCAATTTGATGCTATGGAAATGGATCACAACCCACAATTAAGTCGTCTTCAACTTTAGGTTTGAAAAGAGCAACATTCACATATGCACATAGAATTATCTATGTAATATATATATATATATATATATATATCAGTTGTTATCAGCCAACTGATCCTATAAGTTTAGGTGCCTTTATTTTTTTTCAGAGTTTTACTTTTCCTCTATCTCAATCTTATCATGTGAAGATAAGATCAGATCTGGTGGTACGAGAAAAGGATAGTTTCCTACTATACTTAACCTACGTATACTTACTCATGATCAAGAATTTTTTGGGGCAAATTTTGCTGGAGACCAGCGGGGAAGCTTGTCTGAGACAAAATATCAGCTGCGTTAGCGTTTCTTTGTCGTCGATCTTCTTCTGCCCCTCCAGAGGCTAGATGACTACACACAAAGCAGAAGCTTGTTTCATGCAAGCAAAATCTAATTGATATTGAACCCTGTGTTCCAAGATAAAGAAAGTATCTAAGAAATCATTTTAAGTTTCAAAAATTTCATCTGAAGAGTTATCTACAACTATATTCTATACAACTTACAAAGAAAGAAAACTAAACATCATAGCTCTCTATCTCTCTATCTGTCTATCACTACAATGTGTCAAAACACACCTTGTTTCCCATGCAGCCCATGATTCCACAGCCAACTGAAGAGACACTCAGGTCCCTGATATGTTGATAGAGGTCACTTCGAACCCAAACTGTCATGAACATTCCCACCAGTTGCTTGCTTGTGATGCACAGAAAATCTTGTCCATGTTCATCCTCTGCGCAAACAGGTTCCTTCATGGGATATATTTTTTGGGGTTCTGCTGTTTTATTGTCTTGAACCAGCTTTCTTGGCGTTCTCTTGTTAAGGGTTGCTGCAATGAGAGAATTCCATTTCAAGGAAGCTTTTCTGTTTTGAGGGCCTAATACATTTGCCGCATTAAGAGGCACAATTTCTTGGAATCTGAAATAAAGCAGATGTTATACGAGTTAGAATATTCTCAGATGCAAATTGAGTTATAGAGGAATACGAGTGACAGAAGAAAATTACCCAAGCACGTATATATCTGCAGAATTATTTTGTGTGTCAAGCCAATCTTCCATGTCCAAATTCTTGGGTGGTGCAATGCCTCCGACATTCCACGAACCAACAAAGATTCTAGAGAGAAATTATATACAAATCAGAGTTGCTTTCATATATAAACTTCCATAAGAGGAAACCTGTACAGAACTAATGCGGTGGAGAAGCAAATCTTAGAGAATGTTAACTGGTCTGTTATCATACTCTGTGTCATGGTAATGGCTCAAGCTCCTGTTTGAGTCAGCAGATGCTTGATTCAACCTTGAAGATTCCAGCTTTGCCTCTGCTGAGTGCTGATGCTGATCTTCTCTATCAAAGTTATCATTGCTCAATATCTTTCTCAGGATCTTGCTCTTCTTCAACTTGAAGCCCTCCATGATCTTTTTGAACGCAATATACAGTCGTCAATCATATGAAAAAGAACCACAAGAGACTGGAAGAGACAGAGAGACAGATGCCCAGAAATACTTACTTCTTGCTCTCTTTTCTTGCTCGCCAATGGCTTTCTGCAACAAATCTGCCACAGAACGGGAGTGACATGCCAGACTAGAAAAGAGAGCCAGAAAAGGGACTTTTGCATCAGATATCAAGAGGAAGAAGCAGAGGAGCTAGAGAACTTATAGGCATGCAACTCAGTACCGTCCTGAATAGAATTGAAAACAACTGGTCAAAGGAAAGACATGAGACAAGACCACCAGAGAATCTTTTTTTTTAAAAAAAAAAATTTTCCTCCTATTTCTTGATATTTAATTTCAAAGTTTTGATCCAATTATAATTCCCCTTTTCCTTTATTTGAAAATATTATAACCAAAAGATCCTAATGGAAAATAATTTCTTTTTAAATTCATGTCATTTTCAGGTCACCTCATTCCTCCTTAAAGCTCCGGGAAGGTCCCTTGAAATTACAATCAAGCACAGAACGTGATCGCCTTTTCAAGTAGCCAAAGCAATGGAATTACTCTGTTGACACATGTCCCACAGAACGTGACCCAATTCGTAAGCAAATTCATAGTCCGTTCAACTTGTTTGCAAGCATAGAAGTTTAACTAATAATGCCCTCTCAGGTAAAAAAAAAAAAAAACTAATAAGGCCCTCAAACAAGATGCGGGAAAATGAGTAGATCATTCTTTGTGGAGAAGCCATTTTTTATTTTTAACCACTTAGGACTCACCATGACCAAGTTGTTGGAAAAAGTAGGTTCTTGCAGACCACTTGGTTGCCATGATTATTAGCCTAAATCGAAGAGCATTGGAGGACTTTTTGATGAGACCTTGCCTATTTGTCTTGTTCAGAGATTAACACAAAATTTGATTTGATTTGGGATTTATATTAACTTAATGGTCATTTTCAGGGCACTTAATTCGACTCTGCTACTCGGCTCTGCCCCATGTGCAAGCATGAGCGATGCTATCACAGGCTCTGTAACTTGAAGGGTTTATTTTAAGAAAGCAGCAGTCTTGGTTGGAATTGCAGCTAGAAAGGCTAGCCAAAAGCTATGATTGCGCTGAAAATGGGATGAATGAAAGCTACAATCACAGATTGATTATTTGCATTTAAGTCGGCAGGGTTTACAACTCCCATCCCATGTTTAATACTCCTCCGATTTTTAATATAGGACTCAATTTTTAAGTTATTTTTTGTTTTAAATATAAGATCCATTTCTCATATTTATCAGTTTTCTCTAAATTATTTCTATGAATATTCCTTCAACCATAATTAAGTAGAAAAAGGAGAGGGGGTATTAAGAAAAATGATTATGGTGTTTTAGGAAAAATATGTCACTTTTCTTATAATTAACTAACTTACCTAACTTTCTTAATCTAATCAAATTAGTTAAATGGGTCTTATATTAAGGACCGGAGTAGTAATTAATATTTCCTCGTTTCAGAGTGTCTGTGATGCTCCTCATTTTTCTTATAAAACAGTTGTTTTTGCCTCTCTTTAAGTAATTACTTATATCGGTATCATTGTATTTATTATCTAGTAATTTGCTTATTTTCTTTCTTACACGATCACTTCCTATAAATAAAAGTTTTCTTGGAAAGAAAAAAACATATTTTTATATGTTTGTTATTTTTAATTAATATTAACTAATTTTTCATTAACTTAATTCTCTTATAACTGATATGATAAAAAATTTGAGTAAAGTGGGAAGTGTGATCACAATGCGCGGCTGGGGGCGAATTATTGCGGCAATTGGGAATTACGTGGCCGAAGTCCTATGGACGGTCAGAACCTGAAAGCACAAGTGTCAAAATATGAGCCCTCCATATTTATATTAAAAAAGTCCATGCCAGAATTGAACTATGGACGGACCATCTTCTTCTCCGCCATGCAAAGACAAAGACAGAAGGATTAGGCATCAATTAAAAGAAAATTAAAAGAAAACATAATCATGTAAAATAAATAAAGAAAATATTCAGGTCAAATTACTTATATTTATTATGTCAACTTTTTGAATTATACATATTTACATGTCTTTCAAAACATTAGCATTAAATTGTAAACTAACATTAAAAAAAAAAAACGTGGTGATATGTGATTGGATAAATGATATAATAAATATGACAAATTTCAGTAAAAAAGTATTTTCTAATAAATAAAGTCAAGTTTTTAAAAAATGGAATTTACGCCGTAAACCGACAAACTAACATGACGAATTTTGATAATTTGCTTAAAAATAAATTGATTCAACAGGCTTAATTATAAACCAATTTATTATTATTAATACTCTTTTTGTTTTTTTTACCTTCAATTATTAAGACCCAATCCTTGCAAAAACAAAAAAGTGTGATAATCACTCACTCCATTTTGCATCTCTTGAAAAATAAGAATGAATAATTCAAGAACCAGCGAAATTACACAAATGCCCTTGTAAACTTTGATGCCTCGCCTCCAATATCCACCTGGCCCTGGGGTCCTCGTCCTCGGCGCTGCAAGCTGTCGTATAGGCGGCACACTGACTTTCATTTCCATCTCCCATGCTATAGACTGTATATAGCCCATAATAGACCCTCTCTGTCACTGCATTGAAATTTATTTATTTAGTTATAGTTTATGTGGCATATTATTGGTCTCGTAATGTGATGGAACACCGAAAGTTTCAGTCTCAATTTTCAGGTATTTTAAAATTGGAGATTCATGTATCATTTATTTCCCTCTCAATTTCACAACGGAATTCAATTATATAACTCTAGCAGATTATTAATTACGCAGAACAGGACAGTCATTTGTTTGATTGAACATTTCATACACATTACATAGCTTCCCAAAGTTTTCGTTTTAGAGGGAGGCTATTCAACAAATTTGTCTTGCATGCAACAACGTTAATGTGGTACAGAACTTTGGGACAACTTGAGCACTTAGGATAGCATTGGTTTCGGGTAAGAAATTAAAATAAAAAAGAAGACAAGAATGAGAAGATTGCAATTTCACCTATTTAAAAGATTGGATTTCGTCGTTGCAAGGAAAACTGTTACAAAGCAAGAAATATGTGTTCAAATTTTAACTTTTTTCATTTATTTAAATTGTCCGATCCTGTGTAGACCTTAGAATGTTTCCAAATATTGCAACCGATCGAGTAAAATAGAGCCGGTGTAAACATATTATTAATTCCAGTTCTTAATATAAGAGTTATTTTAACTTTTAATTTAGTCCTAACTATAATATTCTAATCTACTTTATCTATATTTTTTAAAGTAGTCATTATAGTAGTTGTACATGTTAAAGATTTCATCAAATAGTAGTTCTAGCTAATATATATGATTAGTAATAGTATTTTAAAGAAAACAACACATATTTATTACAAATAATTAACTTAATAAACTTTATTAATGTATCCAAATTAGTTAACTAGTTATTATATCAGGGATCGATATAGTATAATTTTATAAAAGGTCTTGCCAATTACAAATTTCGACAAGATAGTGAAGGGAGGCTCAAAAGTCTTGATTTGCTTGTTTCAATTTTTCTGGTTAGTCATTCTTGAAAAATGACATTTTATTAATTCTCCAATCCCCAAGAACTATATCACCAATCCTGTTTCTATAATTTTTCATTTTCCTTTCATAAAGTATTAGAATAACTGAATTTTAAATTAAAAAATGAAAATTGCGTTGTAGTTAGTGGCAAGGTAAATCATAAAAAAGCATCCGTTCTAATTTACATGAAAAATTTTTAAATATATAAAGTTAAAAATATAAGTTTTCTTGTAAATGTTATAACCTTCTGTCATTAGACATTAATAGTTTTTTAATATATCCGAAATGTGTGAACCGTTCATTTTCACTCATCTCACCCTCATTGCTAAGCCTACTTTCAAATGGCTTAATCATGATTAATATTAATCATTAGTAATTAATAATATAATAATAATCCGTGACTTGAAGACACAACAATCATGATGCTAAACAGCAATCAAGCAATGAACCTGCCCCGGTCAATATCTGACAGTTAACACATAATTCTTTCAAGTTGGAGTCCATAATTGAGTCTATTTGTTTAAGAATGATTGTCATCAACCATGTTAAATCACTTTGGCCTTTGCTCCAACCATATTACCGCACCAAACCATGCAACATGCCACTAGGTAAGGCCCCTTTTGAGATTATAGCATTTACACAACAGCGTATCCTCAACTTCTCACCATTGGCTTATATTGAACATTGTTACTGAATTAAGAAAAGTATACGCATAGGACCCAGGTTTTTTCCTCTAGTCAATTCTCTCCTGTTTCTCCCTCGTCTTCATGAAGTAAGTTTTTTTTTTTTACCGGTGAGCACTTGATTCAACTAGTAAAAGAGTTTGTATCAGCTTTAATTATTAGTTACTCCCTCTGTCCTTTATTATGAGATCCAATTTTTTGAATAGGTTTGTCCCTTTTTATAAGATCCTTTTTAAATTTGTCTGAACATTTAATGCATTGTTACCTATTTTACTTTTAGTTTAATATATTTAATACATTCTCTTTTTTTATTTATCTTACTATTACTCTCTTATACCTATCCATTTATATATATGGGTATATTTGAAAAAAAATTGTATTTGCTACATATTAATTACTTTTAACTAATTTTAACTATTTTTTTAAATCGTGTAAGTAATTTAGTTAAAAGAATCTTATAATAAAGGACAGAATAGTAGATGCTTTGAGTTTGAACTTTAGCATGCATTTGCATTAAATATTCGGTGGTAAAGGTTGCCCCTTAAAAGGATCCTACTTGATGTGATTTGAATTAGTCTGGTTTCGATATATAAATCCTTCGATTGAACTGGAGTAGTTCGGAATTCCAGATACAGTAAATTTATATATTATCATGTACTATAATTGCAAAAAATTATTCACTCAGGTCCCACTCCAGTTCTATTTCTCGTTCACTCCTCCTTGAATCTTGTTATGGGATGAGATTAGAGAGTATATTCTCATGCCCCCGAATGCAGCCTAGTTCATCCTGTTTTTTTCCAAACTTAAAGAGAGAGAGATAGAAGAGTGGCTACATATAAATTTTAAATGTCATAGCCATGCATTTCCTTTCTCCATAATCTCGTGTTAGTTGCTGCAACTGTACTTCTCTGCAATATGTTGCTTCCTCTTACAAATATGCTGAAAATTTGTAAAAGATAAAAACAATTCAAGTTCATCAAGTAAATACGCACAAGCATGTCAAAATGTTCTGCTGTAACATTTTATTTATCACTAGCTTAGCTTGGTTTATATACTTTTTTTTTAATATCTTAGATTTACCTAATAATGTTAGAGTAGCAACCGGCCTAAAGGTTAGCATGCTAAACTAATCATTACCTAATAAAGCTCAACAACTTTCCCAAAAACATAAACAACTTCCCCAAAAATACAAGAGGCAGACCTACCCTTTAATTTGGGAAAGCTGAGTTGCTTACCTCTCTAACTCGAAACGTTTGTAGAACTCTATATGCTTCACCAAAACAGTGAAGCCAACCCGTATGTATGTATGTATGTATGTGTATGTATTTGCAAGTGTACGTGTTTTTGTTTGATATACAAGCTTCATTGTTAAAGCTCAAACTGATATGCAAAGGCAACCTTATGGTGAAGTGTAGCAGATCAAGATAATTTAACTTTGTTCACCACGAGAACAAGTCCTGGAGCTCTATGTACAAGTTAGATCATCCCCAAAACTACAAGTCTACAATTTAGAGAGAATTAGTACCTTATAAACAAGTCAAAGTCACAATTACTGTCATTAATAACTGCATGCACGGGGATATAATTAAGGAGTTTGAACTTCCAAGTTCAGTGGAAAAATTTTCTCCATCTTCTGCATAGTTTTAACTTTCAATATTGAGAGGAAGTAGGTTTCATTTCATTGGTACAATAAATGAAGGACCAAAGAATTTAGGTGACAGCTTCATCAAGTGTAGTTTTTAGAAGAACGTAACATGATCTGAATTAAAAAGTGGGTCTCCTTTCCAATTTCGACATCCTGAAAAAAGGACCACAAGCATTTATGCTTTATATCTGAGTAGTGGGTATTGTCTTTTTCGTTATTTAAGGTAAATTAGTTAATTAGGACCACAAGCAATATAGCATGGAACTGATTATTCTAACAAACCCACTTCTATACCATTGGCATATACTTTGAAATGACTAAAAATATGAGCATGAAAAGGAGTTTCCAACATGCTCTAAATCTAAATGAACAATAGAAATTTATTTCGCAATCTTTAATTGTTGCCTCAGAGGGCAGAAATAAAGAAATTATATACTAAAACAAGAAGGGAAAAGATGAAGAAATATGAAGACAAGTGTCTGCCGATAAAGCAGTCACTTTCTCAGTTTTCTCCCACCCACACGAGTCTCATTTGTCGTGTTCTGCGGAGTTGTTTAATCAACTGCTCCATATCAGCTCTAAAACTTGCTAAAATGACATCAGTAATGCCAAAACAGATTCAATTTTTTAAAGACAGCTATTTCTTACTGGCTAAAGAAGCAAGAAAAATAAGAAGAAAGAGGTGCTTAATCAACCATTCATTCCATGCATTCTCATTGAATAAAGTGATGATGAGCCTAAAAATCTGCAGAAACACATCGCACAGTGGGAAGGGAAGGAATTTTGGCCATTGGGAAGAGAAGGAACACACTAAAAGACACCCGATGATACATGGAAAACACCATAGGCAAAGCTAGCTAGGTTCGGAGCAAACTATTATTGGTGCCTTTTGTTGCATCATGTGCAATGCCATTTCGCATCAGGAAAGTTGAAATATTACATATATTTTAAGGCATGTCTTTCGGAAAAGACAAGATCGACGCAGTGTTCTATATAGACTAGAAGGTTGATTGGCTTTTTAGTTAGGAATAAGAATTGGAATATAGTGCTAGCTTTATAGACTTGTATATGTGAAGGATTAGTCACATAAGCAAAAGGGCAATATATATTACTGTTTTGCGATATATGTTGGTGCTATTGTGATTGGGACTTTAGGAAAGTGTTTGTAAATGATCTAAGCACAGTGTGAAAAAGCATGTTTGGTATAATAATTCTGATAATGGCTTGTTGTTAGCTGACTTCCTATCAATTTTTAACTAGATAAGTTGAGTTTAAGGAACTAATAAAAATTAGCCAACTTATGAGTTCCTTGATGACTATGATGCTGAAAAAAGAAGAAGGGAGAATTAAAATAAAGTCCAAAAGAAAAAACCTAATAACTAAAAAGTCTCAATGATAATTGAGCAGCTTGTAATGATAATGCAAGTTATAGAATGGGAAATGATAACTTTTACTCCTCTGGTCCTATCTATAGGGTAGAGAGAGAAGACATTTTTTTGTTTTATTTATAGGGTACCAAGAGAAATTTTTTGTATGGATGTATAATTTTACCTCCATTTTATTATTGTGTTAATTTTGTTTATACAAGATATAATGTATATTAAATAGGGATAAAGTTGGAAAGTCATTAAATTTTAAATGAGAGTTAATAAAGTTTAAGATTTTTCTTGACTTGTGTGAAGCATGCTGGAAATGCCTTATAAATAGGATCAGATGAGTAACTTGTCATTCGAACTTTTTGATAAATATTTTCTTTGGTAGGGACCTCACTGTAATTCTCCCAAAAAAGAATGAGTAGCTTCAAGTTTTAGATTTTTGCATTTGTTTAGACATGATTGCTTTTATGGCGAAATAAAAGCACTAGGCGAGGCCCAAATGAAGTTTTAGAAATGCATTTCACTGCGGGGTTTAGGAGATCTATTATTCACAACTTAAAAATAAAAAGCTAAAGCATAATTTTAGTCTTTTAATTTTATACAAAATTTTAATTTAGTCTATTAACTTTAAAAATGTATATTTCTAATCATTTAGTTCTAAAATTGTTAACAAAAAAAAATGATATTGAGATATTAAATATTGATAAAATATTATTAACATATTAAGTTTAGTTTTCAAAACAATCATGATACTTAAAACTAGTGACTTTATGGTTCAATGACTAAAACAGATTGTTTAAAGTTAATATGCCAAATTAAAACTTTGTATAAAATTAAAAGGATCAACTATATATTTTAACCACTGAGCACTGGGATCAACTAGTGAGGAGTTGTTCTAGCTGAACCAAAAATCACACGTTCGATCCTTTGGGCACACAGTAGCGTAGGTGGTAGGGTAGCTGCTCATATAGGTCCTCAAATTACTGATCGGGATTAGTCTGATTTGTAATTTCCTGGAGGGTTGGCTATGACACGGGGTGAAGTAATTCATAAAAACAATCTGAACTCATCAATGTTACTTCTGTCTTAAAATTCTTTTTGAAAAAAAAAAGGCGGTGGTTTCGATAATTTTTTTGTGTATTTTCCAAGCATGGTCTTGATTTTGAAATTGCAACAACTTAGGGCATATGACCCATGAAAAGTAGCCCAATAGATCCATTATTCACCAAGTTTAGCCCGCATTCTGATGGGCAGATCCATGTTAATGAGAAGAGAGAAAAAATAGAAGGCCCAATCTAAAGAATGATCAGGCCTGTTTTCGAAATGACGCCGCCTCAGCCCACACTCCGTTCCTTCGCGCCGTCATCGTCTCCCTCTCCTTCTCTCAAGGTGACCGGCGGCCGGTCTCTGGTTTCGCGTACCTTCACTCGCATTTTTGGACTTGCTTACATCTATCTATGTAATTTTTATTTTATTTTCTTTCTTCTTATTCAATTTTTCAATTTCCCCACATTTTTCTGCAATTGTTTTCCCCCTTCGATGTTCCCTTATCCTATCTCTCTTTACTTATCTGCATTTATTACCTCTAGTTCAGGGATTCTATTCTGAAGACTCGATTACTTATCTGCATTTATTACCACAATTTTTTCGTATCCCTGTTACTTTGTTGCGAAACATAACTTCCAGAAATCATGCTTGAGTGGTTAAAGTCGGAATTTCAGACAGAACAACATGCTGATGCGATGCTCAACGAAAACGAAGAGCCTTCAACTTCATGTTCACCTCCGACCATTTATGTTGTTTGGCTAAATACATGACCATTTTCAGACCGAGAGCTGAATGAGAAACTTTTTTTTAGAGCAGATGCTTGTGTTGAAGGCAACATCAAAGTCTATTTTGATCCAAGCTGTCTGCGGTTTGAAGGTTAGCTGACCGGAAACCAGATATGATGGTCAAGCAAAAGCTTCGCCAAGCTGTAGATTTTTTGTACTCCTGTGGCTGTGCCACTTCTGAGGCATATACACGAATTGTGATTGATTGTGTTCGATCGAATGACATCAATCAAGCCAAGAGATTACAAGCTCACATGGAGCGTTACCTTTTTCAACCCATAGATGCCTTTGTCCATAATCAACTCCTCCATCTATATGCGAAATTTGGAAAGCTTTCAGATGCTCAAAACCTGTTTGATAAAATGGTCAAGAAAGATATTTATTCTTGGAATGCAATGCTTTCAGCCTATGCAAAGTTGGGGTTGGCAGAGGATTTGTGTGCACTTTTTGATCGAATGCCTTATCGTGATTCTGTTTCATATAACACCATAATAGCAAGTCTTACGAACAATGGGCTTTCAGAAAAAGCTTTGAGGGCTCTGGCACAGATGAAGGAAGAAAGGATAGAACCCACAGAGCACACCTATGTCAGTGCATTGCAGGCATGTTCTCATTTATTGGATTTCAGGCATGGGAGACAGATTCATGGGAGAGCTATTGTTGGTAATTCGATGCAAAATGCTTATGTATGCAATTCTATGATTGATATGTATGCCAATTGTGGAGACGTAGGTAGGGCAAGGTGGTTATTTGATAAAATGGTTGATAAAAATGTTGTTTCATGGAATCTGATGATCTCTGTATATGTGAAAAAAGGGAATCCTGATGAGTGCATTCATTTGTTTGGTAAGATGCAGTTATCAGGCTTTAAACCCGATCAAGTTACAGTTTCAAATGTCCTCAATGCTTACTTTCAGTGCGGATGTGTAGATGATGCAAAGAAAATATTTGGCAAAATAACAAAAAGGGATGAGATTTGTTGGACCACAATGATAGTTGGTTATGCACAAAATGGGAGAGAAGAGGATGCTTTGATGTTATTCTGTCATATGCTACATGAAAATGTTCGACCTGACAGTTTCACCATCTCAAGTGTGGTAAGCTCTTGTGCGAAACTAGCTTCATTGTACCATGGTCAGGTTGTTCACGGAAAAGCCATTCTTATGGGTGTTGATGATAACATGCTTGTGTCAAGTGCTCTAGTAGATATGTACTGCAAATGTGGAGTAACTTCTGATGCTTGGGTCATTTTTGAAGCTATGCCTAGTCGGAGTGTTGTTACTTGGAATGCTATGATTAGGGGTTATGCACGAAATGGACAGGGCTTAGAGGCTGTAGCCCTGTATGAAAGGATGTTGGAGGAGAAGTTAAAACCTGATAATATTACTTTTGTGGGTGTCTTATCTGCTTGTATCAATGCAGATATGGTAGAACAAGGGCAGAGGTATTTTGATTCTATTATCGCACATGGCATGACACCCACTTTGGATCACTATGCATGTATGATTACTCTCCTTGGTCGGTCAGGTTATATCAGTAAAGCAGTGGATTTGATAAAAACTATGCCTCATAAACCAGATTACTTAATTTGGTCCACTTTGCTATCACTTTGTACTGCGAAGCGTGACATAAAACATGCAGAGTTGGCTGCTAGGAATCTCCTTGAATTGGATCCACTTAATGCGGCACCTTATATCTTGATCTCCAACATGTATGCTGCTTGTGGGAGATGGAATGACGTAGCTGCCATAAGATCTTTAATGAAGAGAAATAATGCAAAGAAGTTTGCGGCTTACAGTTGGATTGAGATTGAAAATGAAGTTCACAGATTTGTTTCTGAAGACTGTGCTCACCCGGAAGTCGAAAAAATCTATTGTGAACTGACCCGCTTGATCACAAAATTGCAGGAATTTGGGTATAATCCAGATACAAAGATTGTTCTGCATGATGTAGGGGAGGAAGAGAAGGTCAGATCCATCTCCTACCATAGTGAGAAAATAGCTCTTGCATTTGCATTAATGAGGAAGCCCCATGGTGTTGCTCCCATTAGGATCATAAAGAACATACGTGTCTGTGATGACTGCCATACTTTCATGAAATCTGCATCCTTGATGATTGAACGGGCAATCATACTTAGAGATTCGAATAGGTTTCATCATTTCATTGGTGGAAGCTGCTCTTGCAAGGACCGTTGGTAAAGTCTTAGTGAGATGTTAACCTGCTGAGCTATAATGATATCTGGAATGAATAAGGACATACAACACTCAGGAGCATCCCCTCAGAAAATCTTTTATGCAATGGAAATGGCCAATGCTTTGTTCTTCCGGAGGCTTCATTTATGGATAAGGTCATGATTGGTAGACCATTTGTGGATGGAAAAGGGAGAGGAAGATTGTGGAAATGATGACATCTTCTCATTCCATGGGTTGTTTGGTGGGAAGGCAAAGGAGGAGTACATTCGTAAAATTACATATTTACCCTTTAGAAAACCAAAAAAAACAAACACACACGCACACAGACAGTTTAAGTGTAGCCACTTATTCTACCTTTACTTTTTCATATTTGGTTCGATTCATTCCCTTTCCAAGCCATGAAATTCAATCACCACCTGCATTACCCTCTTCGTAGTTAGCCTACCACCTGTTTGCTCTAACATCTCATTCATAGGAAATCGCTTGATGGATTTTATTGCTAACCATGCTGGGGGCAGGGTCACGCCTCTTTTTTTTTTTTTTTTAATATACTGGTATGAGTTTGCTCACACCCAATATATCTGTATTTTTTTTAAGTGTTTGGAAGTTCCATGTTCCGCGAGCTCCGTCTTGAGCTATATTTTCACTTTGGGCCTTACACGCCATCATGTTGCTTTTGGGGGGCTTTAGACGAGGTTCTCTAGACGAGGTTCTCCCTATTTGGTATGTATCATCTAATAATATTTGAATATTTGAATACAAAGACAGTTACTATATACTGTAAAATCTTCCGTGCAAAGGAAACAGTTTATTGTATTAAATTAAAAATTTTAAAAAAGCATCCCCACAATTTCATAGATAATAATATATATTCTTATTTTTGCGAAAGACATTAGAAACAATATTTCAGAATGATAGAAGAATGCGGAAGAAACATGAGAGCTGAAAAGGACTGGAATAATAATTATTCTCGCAAGTACAATATCGCAGTAAATACTAAATACCTTCCACATCAGTCCGAAATACAAAATTTTCTTCGCCAGTCTTAAATACAACAAAAAAATTAGCTTAACTTTTGGGCTATCTAATAGATGCCCCCCGTTGCCGGTTTTTGAAGCGGGCCAACAGACCCAAACGTTGGGGTTAAATAAATTCGGTCCACAAATTTAGTACTCGATTTGTTGGGGTGCGCCAGGCCCGTGCAGCAGTGCAACACATGGGCGACGCTCAAGGACCCCAGTAGCAAGCTACCGTGGTGAGCCCTTCCCCTAAAAAAATTAATTTAATATCATGTGAGCCAATGGCTCACGTATCAGATATTAAACTGATAAGAACAGATACTACACTTGATCTTAGCCAAAAGGCCGAGAAAGGTATGCCTTGCTTTGTGCGTTTGCTTGGCTTTTATACCATCTCATTCCTTTGCTCACAGCTTCTTTTTCCCATGTGGGACTAGTTCTGAACTTGACAGAGAGGAACCTGACCCCTAGTGCCGGTTTATATGCTAAGGGCTTGTTGCCATACTTCTATTTATTTATTTATTGTTCCCAATGTACTACCAGGTGACATTATAACGGAAGGAGCACTTCAAATTACGGTATGTATCTGTGGTGATTCTCCTCTGACTCAAAACTAGTAAGCAGCTAAGAAATCAAATATGTGAGACCTAAATTGAGAGATGTCCTACTTCTTTGTCATGCATATTAACACTACCTCCGGTCGTAATTATAAGAGCTAGTTGACTAATTTAAAGATATTAAGAAAATAAAATAAGTTAGTTATTGTGATAAATAGGTATTGTTTTTCCTAAAATATCCTTGCTAATCAAGTATATTGGTTAAAACTATCATTATTAAAAGACTATCTTGGAAAAAATATATAAATACGAGAGATAAAGTGGATTGAGGTCTTATATTTAGAACTAAAATAAAAATCAAATGAGGTATGATATTAATAACCGGAGGGGTTAGATGAAGAAAGTGGCAAAAGGGTGAGTTTATCCACCTAACAAGCGAGCCTCACACGTACATATCTCATTACCCTCTTATTTAATAAAACTTCCCAATTCAACACGTCTATCTCATGTTTGATCAAATGTAATTATATGTGGGTGGGGTAAGATAATTGGAGATATGACACATAAGATAAAATAGGTTGAAAATAACTTGTTAAAATAAGGACATGATGAGCACTAAACATAAAAATTCGTTTGACCCTAGAAAATAATGTCAGAAATCGTTGTCCTATTCTAATTCCTGTTTTTAAAACAGTTTTTAAGGGGCAAACTCGTCTGGATAAGTATTTTCTATTTACTTGTTCTTAGAATATGTTTATCTTTTTCTAAAGAATAAAAAGATGAGAATCCTTTGTAGGGTTTTCTGTTTCTGTTCTCATTTAGCCATCAACTACTGCTGCCCGTCACCGTTGAAATTTTGAAATAAATTAACTAAACAAATTTTCATTTCTTATTTCCAAACACCTGTTTGAATAATAGTTGCACAGGACCGTATATACAAAATCAGAAACCAAAATACAAGCCAGGTATCTTTCCTAACCATCCTTAATTCTCGTGTCAAAATGATTACAAAACTCGACAATCTTACGTGGTCTATTACTCACCATGGATTAAAAGTGAGCTTTCTACTGTGAGAGTTTTAGTTGAATGCAGCCAAGGAGTGGGGCTAATCTAAATTACAAATATAATAATATCATTTGAATAAACAACTACATCACGTAGACATAACTTCACAAAATCAAACTCTAATTCATTACAATTCACGTGCTTCATTTGTCAAATTTCATCTTATAACCACTTTCGGATTGAGTTTCTTCTTGAACGTTCAACTTGCCTATTAGCGTATAGCACAAGCAATCTTATAGGCAAGAACTGCAGGCTGTATCTGCTCACCATCCTTCACGCAACATTTACGATTACAATTTTAGATTATGATTCTCCAGCGTACCTCCACATGGGATAGGCTAGAAAAGCACATGTTAGCTTGCTAGATAACAATTAAGAAAATGAACTTGCAAAATTAAACAACTGATTCTCCTTATAGTCCATCCCATTAATCACCTTCACATAAAAACAGGACGGTGACATTGAGAATAATACTCAACATTTTCCTGTCTACTTCTGGAGTAAATATGGAGTTATACAAGGTTGTCACTAGTTACACACAGGAAAAAAATGCCTCAGCATCACTTGGCTGCAATTTTCTTTTCCCTCTTTCAAGTGGAATCAAGTTGCAGCAATCTATGGAAAGGAAAACCAGACACGTTCTCTCTGTGAATAATTCCATGAAGACACCACCTAACTTCAAACTCTATTATTCAGCCACTGAATTATTTCCTGTGTGACTGCATGACGTTCAGGTTCAAAAAGGAGGTCATGCAACAACCCTTCATATAAATGAATGGTTTTGTCAGATGAAGAAGCCTCTTCATAAAACTTCTGAGAAGCAACAGGATCAGTGACCGTATCTGCAGTGCCATGGAGAACCAGGAACGGAACTTTGATATTTCTCAAATTTTGCTGCAAGTAGGACGTGATTCTTATAATCTCGTGGCCTGTTCGGACTCTAATGGATCCAGTACATACTAGTGGGTCAGAATATTTAGATACTAGTGCATCTGGATCTCGACAAACAGTTGAACCCTTTTTATAGGCAGAATTAAATTGATATTTAGGCAGCAACAATGAAACTACAGGGGCAAGAAGCTGCAACAAAAAGATATAGAGATTAGACGAGTTCCTGATTTTTCTCATTAGTGCATGCATATGCCAGTATACCATGTTGTATATACTGCAATGTGAAATGAGATGCTGGCAATTGTGGTCAGATAAACTGGAAGCAGACAAAGGAATATGCATTGCTCACCAAGACTATTGGATGAGAAGCCTGGACTCCAACTGCAGGTGATGTCACTACTGCACCAGATACACATGCCTCGACCTTAGGATCCAGCAATGCCTACAGTACAGATAGCATAAAAACTCTTTTAACTTTTTCTTCAATAGCTTGATAATTGCAAGAAATTTAATTTATAGTAGTACTAGCTATACCTTAAGAACAATGGCTGCACCTGTTGAGTGTCCAAAGCAAAAACAAGGAAGCCCAGGATTTTCAATAAGAATCTTCTCAAGAAAAACTTTCTGTGTAACGTCAGACACAAACAAGTCTTAGTTAGAACAACAACTAGCTGTAAGGGGACAGAAATAATGTTTAAAATTCTGCGGTTCTTCCCACCCGCTTATGACAACGAAAGAAGCACCATCTAATTAAATAAGGTTCTACAAAATCCTTGTAGATTGGAGCACATACCATGTCAGAAACAGCATCGTCAAGAGAATGCACATATGCATGCAGCCCATCACTTCCACCATGGCCTGCAGTGAAGAGAATAGTATTAGTTGGAGTACTGACAAGAGAAAAGGAGGAAAAAAGAATAAACATATTCTGCAAGAGTGAACATACAGCATTAAAAATATGCTGCACAGATTTGAAGGAATCATATCGCCTCTTAAAGATATTTCTAAAATCTACACATGCTTTGCCTCCATAGACCCTACGCTTGAAGCCTCATCACAGTAACGTTCCTATTTTAGGTCACCATACAGTCTAAATTCTTGCTCGGAGTGATAATGGAAGAATAGGTGAACAGTTCATTATTCATTACTCCATTTAACCAAGAAAGGTTAAAGAATTACATAAATAAATAGTTGATGAAGTACTATTTATTAACTAAATATCAAATCTTAATCTAAGAGGAGTGCTTGAAAATATGAGGAACATGACATGACTGCCCACCTTTCTGTCAAATCTCTTTACCAAAAGCCAAATTTTAAAAATATTTAGTAAAGCATAACTCCAAATATACTGAGAAAGAAAACTATGATGGAGCGATTTATTCTGACTTACCAACCCAATCCATCCCATAAACCTTGAAGCCATTAGCATTCAGCTTTTTTGCAAAGTCATTGTACCTGCCACTATTATAGGAGAATGGGACTGGCTTCAGAAATCGGAATTGCATAAAGGATTATATAAGAATTGAAAGGGTAGCCAACTTGAATTAAGCATAAACTGCAAACCTGTGTTCATTAAGACCATGCATAATAAAAATAAGTCCCCTGTACAAAGGACGCAACAAATTATCAGTCTGAATTCTATTAAAAAGAATATGAAGCTGCATTTACACAAAGAAAAGAAAATAAGGGTGAACACCGCGCAGCGTAATTGGAATGATAAAATTCAAAAGTCCTGAAGAAAGTATCAATAAAAAAAGGATAAACACACACAGCAGACACTAAGATTATGTTATTTGTTCCAGAAAAGGGAAATACAAATATAAAAAAGCAAGACGAAAAATCAAAATGAAACATCTTGCATACCATTGATCACAACCATAATATCTTTAAAAAGCATCAAGTGTCTCCAGAACGCAGTGAATTAGTAACCATTCAAGTGGTTATCAAGAGATCAACTTTAGGAATCAAATCTTATAGGGGCAAGGAATAAGAACAATCAGTTTTACCACTCACATATTCTTTGCGTAAGAGCTAAAACGCACAGCATAATGATAGAGAAAATTAAGACACCTATAATATTATGACATGACAAAAATTTGAATAGTTTGATCTGAATTTTTTCTCCCCCGTAGGATGATACATAAATTTTGCTTTTGGCCAACAGGATATCACATGATTCAAAGTCCTTTTTTGAATAATAATAATAAGCCAACTTCACAAAATTAAACAGTAGACACTCTGAAACATTAATTATGTCCACATAATTCAAACCCCTAAAATAGTACTAAGTGCGACAGGGAAAGGCGGGGGCCACGAGTAATAAAAATGGCTTCAGAAAAGGACATGAAGATAAGATGCCACCCCCTAATTGGGGAATTTAAATTTTGCGGTGCATGACTTTCTAATCCAGAAATCCTAGCCGTAGCAATTAATGCAGACTGGATTATTCCTTCGAAGACATCAATCATGACCAGCTATTCACATTAGGCGGTGACATTTGATGACAAACTATATTCTCTCTATGAACCAAACATAATCCAGATGCAACGAACCACGCCCAATTCTCTCAGTAGCGTGCATAAAACAGGTAGGTTTTAATTTCTACTCGAGATTTAACTAAGCGAGAATTACCACAGCAACAGCAGATACTGATGTTATTATTAATAAGGATTAACAGCAAGAATCAAACTCAACACATGACCACTAAGCTCAATGTTGCCAAATGCGTTCCAGAAACCAGCACGGCAAGTAAATTTTCGGTATATTGGAGAATGCAAGCTATTGCCTACCTGATTTTAACCGAAACTGGCGTCCAAGATTGCGTGAAAATGGTAGCACCCCTTTTCGTACCGATTAGGGAGTACTCTCTCACCGTATTCGGGTCCCTATCCTCAACAACCCTCCGTATAGCCAGCGCTCTCCTTGCCTCCACAGCCTCATCCACCGCCTTCACCGTCGCCGCCGCGCTACTACTGCTACAGCCAACGCTTAAACAACTCTTCCACGGCACGAAAGGAGTCGGAACTCGCACCACCACCCCCTTCCGGTTATAATCGGTTTGTTTCTCGTCCTTGCCCGGTTTATCAACTGGCGAGGCCCGCCTCGGTCCACGGAAAGGTAAAAGCAGCAGCAAAACGACGGAGTTTATCAGCATTAGCAGGCTCTTCAGTAATCGCATAGAAAACAAGGCGTTTATACGCCCAGTTGCCCCGGACGTTAAAAAAAGCGACGACGATCCGTCTTGTCCCCTCAAAACCAAAGTCTCCGTCGCCATCGCTTCGAACCCTTGTTTCCTTTTTCAACGAACAAGAGCTGCTTCTTCTTCTTCCTCCTCCCTGCTTATATGCTCCTGCTCCTGCTTCTGCTACGTCGATGAGTTTCAATCTGAGAATTTAACAAAGGTCCGTTTCTAGTACAGATAAAAACCGTCGTGGGTCTCTGTATTAAATGTCTCTATCTATATGCCTCCAAAAATTCAAACCCAAATATAGTTTGGAGAGCCTCCTGCCAAATATAGAAGAACCTAAAACTGAATGATTCCTTCTTATGTAGAATTGGATTCGACACCAAATTAATGACGCTTTCGGGTGGGCTGGATTTATACAAAGCAAAGATGAAAACGGAATCGTAGCTTCAAAAGAGATACTGTGATTTGGACAGCTTGTTTACTCTTTGAACATCCAGAAACTGCGGTTACATTCAACAGGATCACAATTCCCTTTTTCTCAGTCCAATTCTGTTGGTGGGGCTATCGGGAAAAAGACTTCTTCTCAAATTTGATGATGATATGTCTGCGAAAAGAAACAAGCAAACAACTTAGGATAGGACGTAAAGATTCGAGAAGCGTTTAATCGGGAATTTTTTTTTATTAATAAAAATTAAAAAAGGATTCCAGAAGCATCGGTCTCTTTTGTTTTTTCCCCACCCCCGATAAAAACTAAAACATTAAGTAAGAGGCCAAGAAAATGACACGTGGAATAGCAATCAAAGAAACCAATAATAAAAAGACAAGTGTACGAGCGAGATTTGTCGAGTCTAACATATGCGGCGAATAGATGACATCGAAGGTGACTTTTTCTGTACTCCCGTACACAGACTTCGCCTGTGCCCTGTCTTCCTCAGAATGGTACACGTGGAGAGGACGTGTTCAACAATTGTGAAATTAAAGAAATGTCCCAGAACTTTGAAATATTACAATACGACCCTGATATTCTTCCGCCGCATGCCTTTTGTGGCCACAGATTTCGTGTTAATTTTTTGTTTAACCTATAATTTTATTTTTAGGAAAAATTTTATTTTAGGATTACTATAACTAATTGATATCATTCAATTCTCAAAATATTTTAAAATTTCCATCAACCCGATTGGACCAAAATGCAATTAAAATTGAAGCGTAAAAATACAATAATACCCCTCTTTTTTATTTTTTTAAAACATAAATATTAATTATCGCTGAAATTCCACATGGCTGATGTCAGAGGTTAGAGCTCTAACGACTGGAGGTTTAAACCCATGATTTCTTAGCACATAAAAAATAATGTGATCACCAAATCAATCAAACCACTTAGTCATGTAACATGTAACATCCTAAAAAAATATATATAAATAAATTTTATTATTATAAAATAATAATATTTTGTACTTTAAAAAAAGGAGGAAGGGAAACAACGTTCAGAACGTATTTAAGAGGAAGAGGAATTTTAGAGGAAAGCTTTTGACTGAAGGAAGAA